ATATATATATATATATATATATATATATATATATATAGAGAGAGAGAGAGAGAGAGAGAGAGAGAGAGAGAGAGAGAGTCATGGGATGTAGACTATAGTGTGGGGAATGGAGTCAATGGAATTGTAATAGATATGTATGATATTGGCAGGGGGCGGTGGATTGGGGGAGAGGGTTGTCACTTTGTAAGCAGTGAAAAGTATAACTATTGCATTGTTTTGTACACCTGAAGCTAATTTAAAAGACATAAAAAAATAAATAAGAAATATAAATTGGTATTTACAAAATAGTCACAACGATGTAAAGTACAGCATAGAGAATATAGTCAATAATGTTGCAACAACTATGTATCATGCCAGGTGGGTACTAGGCTAATCGGGGGATCACTGCATAAATTCTATAAATGTCTAACCACTATGCTGTACATCTGAAACTAATATAAAATAATATTGAATGTTAACTGTAACTGGAAAAAATAATTTTTTAAAAATACTTATGCCCGGGGCCGGCCGAGTGGCGCGATGGTTAAGAACTGGCTTGGGACGCCAGTTCCCAGAAGAGGGCCCCGGTTCGGATCCCACATATCAGGGCCAGTGACACTGCCCTCCACAGCTAAGATGCTGAACAGCAGCTCAACCTGGAGCTGGGCTGCTGGGAGTCGCTGGCAATGGCATAGGCTGCAGCCCCTGTGGCAGTGGGTTGCCATGGGCTGCCGTGTGTAGCCAGCAGCCAGCGTGAGCGGCCAGCAGCCACCGTGAGCGGCCGTCCAGAAGCCGGCGACTGATCTGCCTCACCCGGGAAGAGCGCAATGATGATGCCAACTTGGGCAAGTGAAGCAACGTCCTCCACAACTAGACTGAAGAACAAAACGACAGCAACTTGTCTGTTCCCCTTCCCCCAATTCCCCAATAAATAAATTTTTTTAAAAAAGAAAAAAAATACTTATGCCCGACTCTACCCCAGATCAAATGAATCAGTATGAACAGGGTGGGGCTAGGCATTGTTATTTTTTAAAGCACTCCATGTCATTCTAATACATAGGCAGGGTTGAGAACCAGGATGGCAATTTCAAACTATAGCATGCATTCCCCTGAGGTTATAAGAAGACTTTCCCAGGGGCATACTTACATGGATACATCAGGCCAGGGGTCAGCAAACTAGGGCCTGTGGTCCAAATCTGCTTGCTACCTGTTTTTAACCTCCGCAGGAGCTAAAGTGGTTTTTACATTTTTAAATGGTTGAGGGGAATACCAAAAGGCGAATGATATTTTGGGACACTGAAAATTATATGAAATTCAAATGTAAGTACTCATCAATAAAGTTTATCGGAACATAGCCACACTCCTGTTTATATATTGTACATGGCTGATTTTGTGCTCCAAGGGCAAAGTTAAATAGCTGGGACAGAGGCCACATGGATAGCAGAGCCTAAAATATTTACTATCTGACCCTTTACAGAAGAAGTTAGCTGACCCCAGCACGAAAGTGATGGATTTACAGAACCTGAACATCCCTGGGTCCTCTTCCAAGAGCTTACCTGCCTGGGAAGTGCCTGCTGTCAAAGGGTCAGGTATGGGTGAATGTCTTCTCCTTTCCCACCTCTTCTTCACATTTACCCTTTTCCCACTTTCAGAAGAAAGGTAGACTTCACACCAGACCTGAAGGTGTAAAAACCTTCTAGGCACTAAAAAACAAACAAACAAACAAACAAAAAACCACCCAAATACTGGTGTCATCTAAGAGAATTCTGATGACATTTCTTTTTCCAAGTCAGGTGAGTTCCAAGTATTGCCTTACCAAAACTAAAAGAGGACACAATCATGTTTCCATCTGCCAAGTCATTTAAAATACTTGGTGATAGATATGTGATTTTTCACATATAATTCAGAAAGAATTTAAAGAATTTAAATGAGTAACATGGCTATGACAGAACTTGTACCAGAATTATTTATGGAAACAAGATTTCTGAAGGCTTACATCTGAAATATTTAAAACAATGAATGCAGTCTCATTCTATGAATAAGCAGTATTTGTCCCAAGTTCTATGAACTCATAAGTGAATTTTAAATAACAGCTTTTTATTATGTTTAATAATTGCTTATCAAAACTTGTATATTTACATTATTTTGATCAATTATACACTAATAATTGTAATTATGAAATGAGGACCTCAATTCCTTACTGGCTGTTGGGCAGAGGCCTTTCTCAACTCCTGGCCACTTAGGCCTGTCCCCAGGGCAGCCACAGCAACCCAGAAAGAGGCTGAGCAACCAGAAGTCAGGACCTTTTTGTAGCCTAATCTTGTGACATCCCATCATTTTCGTCTTATTCTATTCATATTGTTGTTGGAAGCAAGTCACTAGGCCCAGCCCATACTCAAGAGAGGCTCAAAACAATGTGAATACCAGAAGGCAGGACCTTAGGGAGCCATCTTAGAAGCTGCCTGCTACACATGTCAAATTTTAATAACAATTATATCCTTTATTTAAACTGAGGATGAAAATTTTAGATGTCATTTTAAAGAAGTATGATTGGATGGTTTTCCAAAATTCTTTTAGAAATAAACAAGTAAAGAGCTTCAGGCCTAATGCAGCTGGATCCTTGGAGAGGAAGTGGGGACCAACAGAGATGGTCTCCAGGAGTCTGCCAGTCAGTAGCAGAAAAGGGCGGTGGGTAATCTGGACAGTGAGAAAAGTCTACCGCCGGGATCTGGGAGCTCCAATCCAGGCGAGTGGAAAGCAGTGGGAGAAGCTGAGTGCACCTAGATTGCATGGGAGCCAAAGGTCAGGCAAGGGCGCTTGGATTTGATAGGGAGGCAAATACGGACGGTGGTGGGTTTAGGATGGAAGGGAAGCAGGGGATAAAAATAGCTTTCGAAACGCAAGTGTGTCTAGAGCGTGTAGGATGAAATGGGGGCAGGAGGGAGTGGCAGGAACATAGGAGAAGGGACCGCGGGGGACTAGGGACAGAGAGAAGAGGATCCAGTCGGCCCACGTTCTGAAGAAGAATCATCACAACCGGAGACTAATAGGTGTAAGGAGCCGAGGACAGGCTTTCAGCAGGCGCAGAGTAAGTCTCTCCGGAAACGCAGCACTCTGGGCGCTGTGGGGACACAGAGTGGGGCCAGGCCGGGTGCCTGGCCTCCAGGGGTCGCGTCTCCCCGAGTTCGCGTCACACCTGAGGGAAACGACTGCTCCCACCTCCTCCCCGGGATTCAGACCGGGAATGCGCCGGGACCCGAGCCACCCCTACCTCCTGAGGAGAACGGAAAGCCAGAGCAAGCAGAGCAGAAAAGGAGAAACGGGGTGAACAGGGCGGTGGGAGTAAAGAGGGACAGGGACTAAGAAGACGGACTTCCTTTGAGGGTCAAGTTGGGGCCTGACGTCAAAGTACCGCGAAGAAAAGCATAGAAGTCCGACCAGGAACGACAGCAAAGAGGGAAAGGGTGAAAATCGAACTTCCCGGCGTGCGCGTAAGAGCGGGATGGGACGTGCAGCGGGCTCAGGCTGGAGGGTCCCCTGACGGCTGGCCCGGGGGCTGGAGGCTGCAGCCGGAAGCCGGCTATGGGCGGAGAGTCCCGGCCGGGGCGTAGGAAGGAGCGCGGGGAGGGCGCGCACCTGGGCCACGCGGGCGGAGGAGGGACCCGCGGAGGGACGCGACCATCCGGGAGCCCGCCCCTCGGCGCGTCCCGCCCCTTAGCTGGGGTGGAAGCCGGAAGCGGGCGAAGTCGGCCCGCTCGGAACGGCAGAGCCGAGGGCAGGCCGGGGCGTTGTGTCGTTGCGCCCCCAGCCCCCGGTAGCGCTCTCCGCCATAGTGCCGCGGGGCCATGGGGGCTCCACGCCACCGACCGCCAGTCCTCCCGGGGCCCCCGCTGGGGCTGCTGCTGCTGCTCCTGAGCGGGCCAGCCCCGGGCCGCGCTTCCCCGCGGCTCTTGGACCACCCGGCACCCGTCTGCTCCCAGCAGGTGAGACCCCCGCCGCGCCCTGGGGGAAGACAGGAGCCGCCAGGATGCTGCGGGGCTGGGGGGCGGGCGCGGAGGGGCGGCCAGGAGGCCGCAGCTTGGGACCCGCGCGAGGCGGGCAGGAAGTCCGTGCTGGGGTCTCAGAGGGAGTCAGCGGCTTGGATACAAGGAGCGGGAGCACCAGGCAGGACAGTCGGAGCGGTAGAAGTTGCGGTGTGGACCCAGGAGAAGGGGGAGTCTAAGGGAAAAAGAGATCGCGCAGCGCGTGTTGCACAACCTAACCGGCATCCTGGGCGGGAGGCGAGAGGGACACCTCCGCCGGGGCCCACATTTTGGGGAAGGAGTTCAAGGCGCGGGGTCCGGCCCGGGAGGCGGGGCGAGGCTAGTTAGAAAGGGGGTGCGGAAGGAGCCTGCGGGGGAGCCGGCCGAGACTGGGCAGACCCCCCCCGCCGTGCTCCCTGCGGACTCCAGCTGTGCTCCGGTGGTCACGACCAGAGCCTGGGAGGCTGATCCGACTTCAAGACTCACCCTCGAGAAGGAACCCGGCAAGCCCTCAGCAGCCAGAACTGAGGATGGGGGCCGCGGCGGATCTCAGCCCGCGTCCCCGGAGTGGATGCGGAGACCCTGCGGTCGTAGAACGGTGCGCACGAGCCGTGGCTGCCTGCGGGGGCCAGAGCCTCCGGTGAGACGTGGCCTGTAGCTTTCCAGGGACAGATGTGCGGAAGGCTGCTGAGGGCGGCTGGCAGACTCTCAGCAGCTGGGTGCCACCTCCCGAGGGGCAAAGCCCTGAGAATGGGGCAGATGAGAAGCCGCCCCTCCAGCTCCCACCACCACCACCACCACCACCACCACCACCACTACCACCACTACCACTGTGAGCTTGGATCGCGGGTGATTAGCATCTGTCAAGTAGCATCTGAGTGTTCCCACGGGAAGTGACACACCCACCCTTCGGGTAGTGGCCCTGTTGTGGAGGGCCATCTCAAGGGGGGAAAAAAGAAGTAGCAAAACACTGTGCCCGCCTACACAGCTTCCCTACTGTAAGCGCTCCCCTCTCCACTTTCCCTGTAGTTTCCTCAGTCAGTCCCTTCCCCACCGTCACCGCTGGTCCTAAAAAGTAATGCTCAGTATCTGAGTCAGAATGTGAAACGACCCTAGAGATATTTCTCCTTATCTAATTTTGTAGAGAATTTACCAAAAGAGGGTGGAGGGTGAGTGACTATTTAGCAGGGGAAAAAAATTTTTTTTTTTTAAAGATTTTTTTTTTAATTGGGGAATTGGGGGGATGGGAACAGTGCTGGGGAATTGGGGCAAGGGGAACAGACAAGTTGCTGTCGTTTTTGTTCTTCAG